AGGAGAATCTGGGACACATCACAGCCACTGTCTCTTGTCATCCTGAAGAGAACCCCATCCTTCACCTGAATTTTATCCCAGAACTTTAGCAGTTTGCGTGTCGGTTTCTCTTCCATCATTAACTGCTTGTGCAGTGGTCTTCTCCCTTTCTTCAGGTAGTAAAAGAGCCAACCAATATACTGGTCATTCTGTTGTAAGCGGGCCATCTCCACAGGTGGTATTTTAGGTAGGGTTGAAGTTGCAGTAGGTGTCGGCCTGTCATGTCTGGCATGAACTTCACTAAGTCCTGCTGCCGCAAGGATGGTCAGTAGCTCTCCACGCACTTCATTTGGAACTGTCGTGGACATTTGAAGAAGAGGGTTTGGCTGCAGTACATACTTCCTCACACCGTACATTCTCTGGCTCGGCATCATGAACAGGCTTTCTACTGAGAGCATCGGCATTCTTGTTGCTCTTTCCTGACCTGTACCTCACTGTGAAGTTGAATTGCGCCAACTCAGCTGCCTACCTTGTCTCTGTAGCTCCCAACTTGGTATACGTCTGCAGGTAGCTCATAGGGCTGTTGTCTGTGTAGACTGTGAAATTTGCACCAAGAAGGAGATCTCGAAACTTCACGGTGATAGCCCATCTCAAAGCTAACAGTTCTAACTTCATGCTGCTGTAGTTTTCCATGTTTCTTTCACTCCCTCGGAGACCTCTGCTGGCATAGCCAAGAACGACACGACCATTTTCCTGCTCTTGGGAAAGCACCGTACCAAGTCCCAGATGGCTAGCGTCCACTTCCAAGACAAAAGGAGCCTTGAAGTCTGGGTAGCCCAACAAAGGGGCACTGGTCAAGAGTTGCTTCAGCTGATTGAAGGCAGTCTCACATGCCTCAGCCCATACGTAGGGTTTCTGGGGGGTAACAGCTTTCTTCCTCCTGTCTTTTATCTTTGCAGAGCCACCCAGCATAGCATGGAGTGGGGAAGCAACTTTGGCATACTCAGGGATGAAGCGACAATAATAACTGGTAAGCCCCAGGAAACTTCGAAGTTCGCCCTCTTTTGTTGGACGTTCCCACTCAGTAACGGCTCTTACTTTCTCTGGATCAGGTGAAATACCCTCGGCTGCGAATACATGCCCCAGGTAGCGAAGGTTTGCTGCAAACCAGTGACACTTTTCGGGCTTCACTTTCAGCCGGAAGTCTTGCAGACGCGTGAGAACCATCTCCAGCCGCTCAAGAGTCTCATCGAAGGTCTTGCCAAAGACCAGAATATCATCAAGGTAGACGATGAGTGACTGGAAGTTCTTATCACCGAATGCTTTGTCCATAAGACGCATGAAGGTGGCAGGGGCATTGCACAGCCCAAACGGCATTCGTGTGAACTCGTACAAGCCACCTGTCCCAACGCGAAATGCTGTCTTCTCAATGTCTCTTTCTTCAACTGGAATTTGATAGAAGCCATGAGCGAGATCCAAGCTGCAAAAATATTTGGCCCCATTCAGAGTATCAAGGGCTTCATCAATTCGGGGAAGTGGATACGCATCCTTGTGTGTCTTCGCGTTGAGTGCCCTGTAATCGACACACAACCTCAGCTTTCCATTCCTCTTTCGCACAAGGACAACTGGTGATGCATACGGGCTTGAGGACTCTCGTATCACTCCTCTGTCCAGTGATGCTTGAATATGATCACGTACTTCAGGCCAAAGATGAGGGGGAATTCTTCTGTGTGGTACCTTCACTGGTAGATCGTCAGTGGTAATGATTCGGTGCTCAACCTTGTTGCAGTAGCCGATATCGTCATCGTCCATGCTGAAAACTTCAGTGTACTTAGTTATTAGTGCTGTGAGATCTTGCAGCTGACTGTCACTGACATCTTTCCCTATCTGAATCCTGGACATCAGATCAGCAGTAAGGTCATCACCCACCTCTATGTGTTGAATGAAGGCTTCATTCTCTTGTTTGGGAGCATGCTGTGTAATGCTTGCGGGAAGGGCCGGGGAAATTAATGCAACTGGTGTTTTGGGTTGAAGATAGACATCATCTTGGCTGAAATTGGCAATCTGTACTGATACTGTGCCTCTTGCATCGACGCTGACAAAGACTGGGGAAACTC